TTTTGATTTTTGCATGCCTTTGGACTCTGCCTTCGCCCTTTTAGGATTTGTTTGCCTGATCTGATCTGATTGGATCTCTGTGAACTGGACTGCAAGTAAACTACTGTTTGTTTTACGGAGCCCTTGTGTGTGTCGAGTCGTGCTATTGAGTCCTATTTCCTGGGTCAGTTATAACAAGATGTTTTTGAGAAAATAGCACAAAATGATAAAAAATAAAAAATAAAATAAAAAATTCAGAGTTTTCAGATAAACTGCAAACTAACAAACCTGGCAGTTAATAATTCTCAGTTGTTTAGCAAACAAATATGTCAAATCAGCTCTTATCCGACAGTATGTGTTTCTATATCTGTGGAAATAATTCGGATTCACAGGCGTTTTGATCTTTTTCTGTTTGTGTTGCATCATTTCAGCTCCTATCATTGCCTCCAGCACTGACACAACAATCCCCTGCAGTGTGTCAAACACCTCCCTGATGGTCTTCAGCCTCGTTTGGAGATTCAACCACAGTCAGATCATTCTGAACCAGGCCGGAGCCAACGTCAGCCACTCAGTCTCAGAGGAGTGGAGGCAGCAGGTGAAGGGCGTCTCTGAGTCAGGCGGCCTCATGCTACAGGACTTATCTTGGAAACAGGAGGGGATGTACACCTGTGAACTCAGTAATCCTGAGGAGACATACGTAACCAACACCTTTCTGAGAATAGAGAAAGGTAAGAGCAAGTCTGTCTGAGTGAAAGCTGCCATTCAAACTATCAGCATATCTCAGGTTTGATATTCGGGCACAGTTTCAACCAGTTTCAGCTCTTAGACTGGGGCAAAAGAAGTCATTTATTTACAACAAAACAATCCAAATACATAGGTGAGAGGACTCTGTAAGGCCAGTAGTGTGGGGAGTGGATGTTATAAAACCAAAGAAAAGGAAACAAAAGATACCAAACAAAAGGTGTGTGGAGGGAGAGGAGAGCTGCTAAAGGACTGGCTGCTGCTCTGGCTTATATCCACGGGGCACACCGAGTCCAGGTGTGCAACATACTGCTGATTAACCTCCGACAGGTCTGCAGCCCTCCACACAGAATCAACTGTCAACTCACCTGGCGCTGCTCTCACAAGCCGTCCCCACACCTCTCTCTCTCTCTCCTGCAGCTGAGTGTAAACCACAGCCACCTCCACAAGCAGTACAAAGCACACAGAGGGACCCTCACACTATTCCAGTAGATGTACGTAGGTGGTTGCTAGAGTGCCGAAGGTCTCTGTTAAGGCATTGCCCGAGGGTTGCTTGGGTGTTGGGATGTTTGCTGCAGTGTTAATAGGTGGTTGGCTGCAAAGTTGAAGTAGCTGAATGTAGGATTGCTTAACATCAGGAAGATCTAACAGCTGAGGGTGAGGAAACTGTAGATTCTGAGAGATGGACACGTGAACAATGCTACAGTAGTTATCAGTCAGTATGTTGTGGTCTGAGTTGGTTGTTTCAAGTTCATTTAACTGAACTGTCTCTCTCTGTTTCAGTGAGTCGGACTGGTGTTACAGGCATTATTGTAGCTGTGGTGGTTGGAGTCATTGTGGTTGTATTGCTAACAGGACTTATACTGTACTGCAAATCTAAAAGGGTAAGAAAAACACATTCTGCCTTCAGTTGGGATTTATTTAATGTGTACGTTGTTTGCACTGATGATGATGTGTGTTTGACACAGAGAGGAACAAGACCAGAAATGGTACTATCAGAAAACTCCTTGTGGTAAGTATATCTTACATACTGAATACAGAAGCACCTGAATCAGTTTACAGTGCATGGCAGGCTGTAATTAATTAAATTAACTAATAATAACTCAAATTAACCCACAAGCAGAGTGTAAAATAATGCAAAACTCATCCAAAAATAAACTGGCTCAGTGGTTTGAACATGAAACGTTTTTCTAACCTAAATAAAAGTTTGTGTTGAGTTCCGCTTGGATGTATTTTACCAATAAGTTGTGTTCAGTTTTGTTCGCAGGAAAGAAGAAGACATGTATGATAGCAACTACCTACAAGATCCCCAACAACCTGTGCTGCTCTCAATGTGACTGTATTTGATTAACGTGAGCAAATCCTCAGAAACTCCTGTGAAACTGTGGCAAGCAGCTCTCAGCAACATCAACTGCTTGACGATGTGTATATTAATTTAAGCTCATACATTTCCTACATTATTATTGTATATTTACGGTAAATTAATTTAATCACTACTGTTCACTAAAGTATTCTGTTTTATATCTATTTTGTTTTATTCACATATTTTAACTTTTGCACAAATTTAAGTCTTTTGTCTCTTTTATGTTTGTAATTTTCTTTTTAAACATTTTATATGGAATCACTGAAAAACACTAACTTTTGTTCTGATGGTAAGAACTTAAAATTGATCTTTAATTTTCAGTTTCTTCCCTATAGAGGGCGCTGCAACACAATGAAGTGATGCAGTCACTTTACAAGCTGACTGAAATTCTGTCACTGCTGAGTTTATTTAAACACTTTAAACTTGCTGTAAATATCTGACATACATTAAATACTTTCTATTCACCTGATCCTTTAATATCTTCCTATAACTTGCACCAGTAAATTCTGCTTCTGCTTAAGTTTAAAGAGTGTTGAAGTCTTATTTTGAGTATTGAGACTGAATTGAAAACAGAATTTGATGCACACACTATTATACACTAATGAGTTAGGCACATATTACACATATTATTTCTGCCAACAGATCCTATTATAGTAGTCAGCTTGTTGATAAGTGAAGTAGCCTTTAGTCTGAGAGCCACAGAGTGAATCAGCTGCAGCTCCATCATCACCATCTTCTCCTGTTACTGAGGACGTCATCAGAGAAGTTGAACAACTCAAACTGAGTTATTACTGAACATGACTTCCTGTATTAAGACCAGGGAATCAGTTTGAGAGTGACAGCAGCTTCTAATCCTGTTTTCAGTTTAACTCTGGGGCTTCCTTTTTATTGTTCATGTATGGAATTTGCCTTTAAGTCTCTAAAGTTGAATTCTTCTGTGTTACAACAGACTGGACGAGCACTTGTTGGAAACTGATTCACTTTAATTGTGTGAATAAAACATGATCTTTCTCAGTGTGGGAGTCAGAGTCAGATGGCTTTCCACCTTTGTTTTATGCTCAGAGTCTAATGAAGACGTAAACAGCCGACTGCAAACTGAGAAACTACAGTAAAGGTCTGACTGAATCCAGACTTTTTTTTTTAATTTCTGTTCCTCACAAGCAATATTCATCTGTTATAAAATGAGAAAAAGCTGATATTTGTGGTAGTTATTGATTTCTTTATTTGAAAATCAGGAGATCAATAAGCTCTGACACACACACTGGATTTGTGGACTCTTTTATTCGCTGCTTTCTAAGGCTGCACAGAGGAATTATAAAGCTTTAGCTGAGTCCAGCAGCAGGTGGAAATGAGCAACACTTGAATCTTCTTCAGTCAGAAATAAAACTCTGGCGAATCCAAATAAACAATTAAAATGTTCTTCATTTACACCAACATGGAGATCATTTATATTTATAAACTGGATTGTGGAGATTTATAGCAATCAGAAGTAAGATGTGATTTCAATATATAGATTTGTTTTCTTGATGCAATAATATAAACTTTCACAATATGACAAAACACAGCAAATATGCACATAATCTTAATTATTAACAATAACACGTATGATTAGAGCTTATTTAGACTGCAGCACTGAGAGTCATCTCCACTGGTTGTGATTCCTCTGTCAGTCACTGCTGGATGAAGCTCTCCTCTCCACTCTACCTCCCAGTAACATGGCCCAGTCAGAGCTGATGCTGCTGCTTCAACCTCTCTGGATCATCAGGACACGGCTGATCCTCCCACACAACCTCCTTCCTCACCACTCACACTCTGACTGAGATCACGTCAATCTGATGAGAGAAGAAGACAGACAACAGAAGTCATAAATCAGTGTTTACAGAGACTCCCTCCATCAGCACATCCAGTATAAAGACCAGCAGGGACTTCAGTCCAGTTCAGACCAAAAGGTGAGCGGCTGCGAAGCGTAGCCTGCTTCCTTTCAGCTCTCATGTTAACATATTGGAGTGAACACACTGAGCTGAAGCTCACAGACCTGCAGACACTTTGGACACCAAGTCTGTTGACTGCAGATTTCACTGAAGTACACAGTGGAAATAAAGTGCTGAGAGTCCCTGAACACAACATTACTGCAGAAACAGAGACATTCACTGCCCACTGTAATGATGGATTTACTGCTGTTTGGGTTCAAAGCTGATAAAAACCCCAGTCTCAGTCAAATTAAAATGTTTCATCTTCTTTTGAAATATTATAGAAGAGAAATATGGAGTCTGTTTAAAAAATAGAACATATTTGGACTAAACAAAAGACAAATGGACAGATATATATCTGATGTTAAAGGTCCTACATGTTCATACATGGACTGAACAATAGCTGTGATTACTGGACTTCAGCAGAGGTTCTGGTCTGTACAAAGACCACATGGTCACTAAATATAATGATGGTTCTCTGAAATAAGATCCAGTGGTTTGCAGGCTTCAATCAGACTGATCTTAGAGCTGTGACAAAGATGAACTGATGAGTTGTTTAGTGTTGAAATGAGAGAACAAACACTTTGAGATCAGATTTGATGGTACAACAGTTTGATGAATGAGGACCACTGTCTCTGTACATCTTGTAATGCTGTCAGCTGGAATCCAGCCTTATTTCCTGTAGACATGAACACAACGACAACAGTCGTCTTCACATCAACTCAAACACATGATCACAACAAGTCTCTCTCTCTCTCTCTCTCTCTCTCTCTCTCTCTCTCTCTTTAGTCTTTCTGTCTTTCTGTCCAACCCTGAAGTCTGTCACCATCCTCCTCTCACAGCTTCACTGAGGAAAGCAGCAAATACTGGATCTTTGCTTTGATACTAACTGTGTTTAGTACAATACTGCTGAAACCAGCATGGACTGACTCCAACCCTCTACTGACCTCAGAGTCTTCAGTCTACAGTGTGGACTCTCCAGAAAACCACACAGCAGCTTCACTCCTGAATCCTGCAGATTGTTGTTACTCAGGTCCAGCTCTCTCAGATGGGAGGGGTTGGACTTCAGAGCTGAGACCAGATAATCACAGCTGATCTCTGACAAACTGCAGTCACTCAATCTGAATAAAGAATAAATGATGTAAGTTTAGAAGACAATGTTCCTACTTGAAATCATTCAGTGTTTAATAATCTGTTCAGAGCTGAAGAAGGTTTAGAATGTACAAGTTTAGAAAATGTGAACAAAAGACATCTACAATCATTATTTTAGGAATAGTGGAGTCATAAAATCAAATTATCTTCAGTTTAAACTATTCAGTCAGTATAAACATCATATAGCTTCATAACAATGTTGGAAACAGCAAATACTAAATAAATGTGTTATTTACTGATAGTTGAAATAGAGATTATTTATTTATTTGATTTTTTTACAATTTAAAAAAATAGAACACGATATGGAATATCAGATGAAAATCAAGAGTTTAAGAGATTCAGAGTGAATTATCCAGTGTAGATTTTTCGTTATATTCAGGTTTTAAATGTGGAGCTCAACATTGCTCTGCCACAGTCAATGGACTAAACCACTGAAGAAGAAAACAGACTTTAGCATTAAGATACTCAGTGTGGATCAGTATAATATCAGCCTTATGTCTGCACTTTACTGTCAGCACAACTTTCACATCATATTAATCTCAGCACAGAAGGAATAAATGGTGTCTGACCTCAGAGTCTCCAGTCTACAGTGTGGACTCTCCAGAAAACCACACAGCAGCTTCACTCCTGAATCCTGCAGCTCGTTGTAACTCAACCTCAAATCTCTCAGATGGGAGGGGTTGGACTTCAGAGCTGAGACCAGATAATCACAGCTGATCTCTGACAAACTGCAGTCACTCAATCTGTATAAAGAATAAAAGATGTAAGTTTAGAAGACAATGTTCCTGCTTGAAATCATTCAGTGTTTAATGATATTGAGATTTATATGGCAGGAAAAAGACCTAGAGTACGATATAAAACATTATAGCTACTGAAAGAAAGAAGAGGCTGGGGTTTACCATCACAGAAACATTATTATATCTCAGCACAGATGAGAGCATCAGCTCTCGGGGTTCGGAGAGCAGTGATAAAAGAACATACATTGAAAGAAGATATTAAAATCCTGAGTTGGTGTGCATATGATTCAGATCTCACACTAAATAAACTCAATGATAGATTCAAAGTTTGGATAAAGAAAGGTATAATATCTCTATGCAGCATTATACAGAAAGATGAAATTATGTGTTTTCAAACATTAAGAGATAATTTTTCATTGGAAAAACAGGATTTCTAAAGATATCTCCAATTAAGAAATTACTATAATCAAAAAGAAAAATACCAGAGAAGCCAGTAAACCCTTTATGCAACTTCTCATAAATGCATATAAGTCAGATATTAAAAGAGGGGTCATCTCTCAACTGTATAAGAGCCTCCACAATCTAAAAGCTCATTCGACAAAATATATAAAGGATAGATGGGAGAAGGAAGGAGACCTGACAATAACAGACAAAGAATGGCAAGATATTTGTGTATTTCAATGGAAGAGTCCAAAATCTCATGCTTGGAAAGAATTGATGCTTGAAGAAGAAAACAGACTTTAGCATTAAGATACTCAGTGTGGATCAGTATAATATCAGCCTTATGTCTGCACTTTACTGTCACCACAACTTTCACATCATATTAATCTCAGCACAGAAGGAAAAAATGGTGTCTGACCTCAGAGTCTCCAGTCTACAGTGTGGATTCTCCAGAAAACCACACAGCAGCTTCACTCCTGAATCCTGCAGATTGTTGGCACTCAGGTTCAGCTCTCTCAGATGGGAGGGGTTGGACTTCAGAGCTGAGACCAGATAATCACAGCTGATCTCTGACAAACTGCAGTAACTCAATCTGAATAAAGAATAAAAGATGTAAGTTTAGAAGACAATGTTCCAGCTTGAAATCATTCAGTGTTTAATGATCTGTTCAGAGCTGAAGAAGGTTTAGAATGTACAAGTTTAGAAAATGGAAACTCCAAACACCTGAACCCAACAGCAGGTTGAAAACTGTAAAATACAAAAAGGTAAAAAGAGCTCTCATTAATATTAATGACAACGTGCTGCTGCTTCAATAAAGACGTAGTGACTTCAGCTCTTAACCTCTGCCAGCTCCACCAGTGGCTCCATCTATACAAACTCATGTTGTGTAGCCAAACACAAAGAAAAACAAACACAAAGTGATTTAAGATTTGAATAAAGATCCTAAAGTTTCCAAAGATGTCATATATATCACAATTTATATTAAGTAAATGTCAAATTAAGAAATCTACAATATTTCTTTTAGGAATAGTGGAGTCTTAAAATCAAAGCTTCTTCAGTTTAAACTATTCAGTCAGCATAAACATCATATAGCTTCATAAAAATGTTGGAAAAAGAAAATACTGAACATATTTGTTATTGTCTGGTCATTAAAATAGAGATTATTTATTTATTTATTTATTTAATGTATTTATGTATTTTTATCATCATTTATTAAAAAACATGATGTGAAATATAAGATGAAGATCAAGAGTTTAAGAGATTCAGAGTGAATTATCCAGTGTAGATTTTTCTTGTTATGTTCAGGTTTTAAATGTGGAGTTCAACATTGCTCTGCCACAGTCAATGGACTAAATTGTAACAATAGGATTGTTTATTTAAGTACTGTTGTACGGGGGACTGATTTAGAGGTTACGCCGCGCATGCGGACCAGTTCAGATAGCGTTACCTAGGCAGAGAGTGGAGAGATGATGTCGGCACACATGCAATAAAGTTCAAGTAAGCTAGACTGCTTTAATCGTCCATTATGTATAGTCAAGATAAGAGACGGAACATAATGAAACATAAACCACTGAAGAAGAAAACAGACTTTAGCATTAAGATACTCAGTGTGGATCAGTATAATATCAGCCTTATGTCTGCACTTTACTGTCACCACAACTTTCACATCATATTAATCTCAGCACAGAAGGAAAAAATGGTGTCTGACCTCAGAGTCTCCAGTCTACAGTGTGGACTCTCCAGAAAACCACACAGCAGCTTCACTCCTGAATCCTGCAGATTGTTGTCACTCAGGTTCAGCTCTCTCAGATGGGAGGGGTTGGACTTCAGAGCTGAGACCAGATAATCACAGCTGATCTCTGACAAACTGCAGCCCCACAATCTGAATAAAGAATAAAAGATGTAAGTTTAGAAGACAATGTTCCTGCTTGAAATCATTCAGTGTTTAATAATCTGTTCAGAGCTGAAGAAGGTTTAGAATGTACAAGTTTAGAAAATGGAAACTCCAAACACCTGAACCCAACAGCAGGTTGAAAACTGTAAAATACAAAAAGGTAAAAAGAGCTCTCATTAATATTAATGACAACGTGCTGCTGCTTCAATAAAGACGTAGTGACTTCAGCTCTTAACCTCTGCCAGCTCCACCAGTGGCTCCATCTATACAAACTCATGTTGTGCAGCCAAACACAAAGAAAAACACACAGAAACTGATTGAAGATTCAACTGAAGATCACAAAGCTGTCAAATATGTCATGATGCAATTGGAGAATTTAACCTGTGGCCGCACTTCCTTACATGTCCTGCTCTGCTCAAAACTCCCTCTATCTGAACCTATATCTCAGTATACTTCAAATCCGATTGTGAAACATTCCTTTAAGATCTGGACACAATTTGGACAGTTGTTTTCACTCATGGACGTTTCAGTCTTTGCTCCTATAGTGAGAAATCACCTATTTATACCTTCATTTACAGATGGAGCTTTTGATGTCTCGGTTAGGAGGGATCAGCACATGGGAGATTTATTTATTGACAATACTCTTATATCCTTTGATCAGCTAATGTTAAAGTTGAATATCCCCTGCTCTTACTTCTTTAGTTCTTACAACTTTGTATCTATATCAGCATCCTCCACTTTCTCTTCCTTGTTCCAAAAGGTCTATTGGGACAGTTTATTCCTTATTAAATTCACATAATCCCGAAAACTTGACCCTGTTAAGGAATCAGTGGGAAGAAGAATTGGGAATGCGATTTCCTGATAGAGGTCAGAAGAAAGCTTTAGTTAGGATACATTCCTCTTCAATTTGTTTATGATATACAGCCATCCAGTTCAAAGTTTTGCATCGCCTAGCTGGTTTAAAACTAAACTTGCCAAGTTCATTCCCAGCCTTAACCCTACATGTGATGATGCATGCAAGCACCAGCCACTCTTTCACATATGTTTTGGTCTTGTTGAACCCTTTTCAGATGTTTTGGAAGTACCCATAGAACTATTACTGCAATATTTTGAGTAGCTCCATAAGAAATAATATGATAACTTTTGCGTCTCTCTTAGCTAGACGGCTCATACTCACACTAAATGGAAGGAAAAACACCCCCCAACTTTCAAGCTATGGATTAAAGACCTTACACACCATATATGTATATTCATATTGCGTACTCTCTCTCAATCGTTTTTCCCCTTTCTCCTGATTTCTTGTTTTTGTTTTTTGTTCTTTTTCTCTATTACTCACTTATGTATTATTATAATATCTTTTGTATCATTTACTGTACTTTTACCTTTGTGATCATTATTTTCATTTTTGTCTTATTTACAATTGTTGTCACATTGACTGTATTTATATATCCATGTAACTCCTCGCAAATTTGGTGTGTTTGATTACTAATGGTACAATAATAGTTCAATAGTGATGGGGCTCTGTTGGAGCAGGAAGATGGGGCGGGGTTATATCGTGATCATCTAACTGTATCTGTAATTTGTTGCAGTTTGTATAACTCCTAAATACCAACAAAAAGACTTTAAGCAAAAAAAAAGAACAAAAACAGTCAGAATGACTCAACTTTCACATCATATTAATCTCAGCATAGAAGGAAAAAATGGTGTCTGACCTCAGAGTCTCCAGTCTACAATGTGGACTCTCCAGAAAACCACACAGCAGCTTCACTCCTGAATCCTGAAGATTGTTGTTACTCAGGTCCAGCTCTCTCAGATGGGAGGGGTTGAACTTCAGAGCTGAGACCAGATAATCACAGCTGATCTTTAACAAACTGCAGCCCGACAAACTGAATAAAGAATAAATGATGAAGATAAAAATCATTTATAATCCAATCACATGTGTTCAGGTTTTAAATGTGTAGCTCAACATTACTATGGCTTAATCAATGAGCTTTTCTCTAAAATTAGAGTAGAGTGACTTTATCATTGTGTTATTGCGGATCATCATAATGTCATCCTTTTGCAGACATCATCGGAATGTCACCATAACATTCATACACTTATTCATGTCAACATTGATCAATAACATGCTGCGGATATCAGTTACGTCATTAAAAAATATCAAATCAGAAATGTTTCATTTTCTTCTAATTCATAACAATCATGTGTTGTTTTTTGAAAAATCCTAAGACGGGTTTTTTCTAAAGAATTCTAAAATGGCCAATAACAAATGACATAAAGACTTTATGAAATAAATAGTAGTTTAAGTAAACATTATTTAACACCTGCATGAAAATAGGTTGAACTTCTGTGTGTGTCACAAATGTGACGATAAATTAAAAGATATAAAAATAAATGAAATTAATAAATATTGATTTAATTTTGCAGCCCTTTGTAGGAATACACTTTTTAAATAACATGAATTCAGAGTAAATTCTGTTCAGACTGACATAAAAAAAAGCTGTTGTGATTTGTGCTCAGACAAACCCAGAAAACAAGAGAAATGAAGGAACCTTACAGCTTCTGTTACGCATTTAAATTTGGTAGATATACAGTGTACAAGAGCTAAATACATGAACTGACCTCAGAGTCTCCAGTCTACAGTTTTTACTCTCCAGTCCAGCACACAACAGCTTCACTCCTGAATCCTGCAGCTTGTTGAAGCTCAGGTCCAGATCTCTCAGATGGGAGGGGTTGGACTTCAGAGCTGAGGCCACAACTTCACATTGAGTCTCTGAGAGTCCACAGCCAGAAAGTCTGTGATGACAGAATATAAAACTTAAAGCATGATACCATCTGGCATTGTTCTTAAGCAATATAATGAGATAAATTGGGGCTTTAGAGAAGGTTCTAACTGCACTCATCTATTCAGTGCTGCTTGAAAGTATGTGAATCTCTGAAGCAGTTTTCTATTGTTTTACAATTATTTCTTTATATAATATATTTAATCAGAACCAGTATGTTTTTATATGTGTATGAAATAACAGGTGGATGTTTAACATGTCCATATACTTTTTTGAGGAAATTAATTGTGTAGTGTTGTTGTACACTTTTGTAGGGACAAGTCAGTGAACCCTGAGCAGCATTGCTCAAAACAAGCAGGTAAATACAATTACACAAAAATATACACAGAATATTTGTCTAAATTAACAACCCACACTAATCATGAATTATATCGCAATATCTGTCAAAATAATTGCAATATGATGTTTTTACTGTATTGTGCAGCTTTAGAGGAATTTTAATCTTAGAAGATGTGCAATTTCACTTTGACAGATAATACTATGAAAATCATGACGTGACCTTTTTCCTGAATCTGGAATCTTAAATCTGTTTTCTTTAAAACAAGATTTGTAGGCCATGGCATCTCTTTAGCACTACAGTGATTTGCATATTGCACTTGGCCATAATGAAATTTCGCTAATATTGTGATTAATTGTTCAGCCCTCCTCTCAGCCTCATTGACCTGTATGAGTTTACTTTGGTAAGACTCAACTGATTAATGGTTGGTTTGATTAATAGTATAATTAATACTGAGGATTAAATTAAATTAAATTAAAGAATTTGTTCTCAAGTGGAGTTCTACTGTAACAATATAATTTCTTCTCTGAGCATGGTGATTATAAAATCCATCCACTGAACTGAACCTACTAAGCTCTCCTTCACTGGCAGAATGAACCTGGAGTTCGTCCCAGGAACTGACTGTACTGAGCTGCTGTCTGAGTAAATCAGCTGCTAAACTATATATCTGCAATTTGAAAGAAAAACACAGTGCAAATCTTGCCATTAGTGTTACTGTTGTAAAATGGTGCAGAAAGGAAACACATTGACAGTTTGTATTTGCAGATAATAAAAAAAATGTAATAATTAATTATAACTATAATTTGTCACATTAGGGTGACCAGATAAAAAGGCAAAAAAGGACAAGTTTTGAAAAAACACTATCAGTGAACTTTACTAAAGTAGCTTGGAATAAACCAGTTTACAGACTAGTTCATTAAAATACCACCAGAGAGTGAGTGAGAGAGAGAGAGAGAGAGAGAGAGAGAGAGAGAGAGAGAGAGAGAGAGAGAGAGGAGCTTCCTTACTGTTTATAAATCAAACTCAATTCAAATGTAGCAAAATATAAAAAAATATCAACTTCTGCCTCTAAACGTAAAGTCACACTTATATTTAATGATGATGGAGAGGAGGATGCTCTGTTTATTCTTCACATCCTCTCAAATCAGCAACAATTATAGATATTGTATAAACTGTGAAATGGAAAGAGCAGTCCTTCATATGAAACAGTTCAGAAACTGCTGAGAAAAAACATAAGATATTTCATTTGTGTTTGTCTGTATATGAACAATAAACTGACACATTTTAGAAACAGTGCAGACACCATTAGAGATCAGGTTTTTGTGCGGGATTTGATGATAGAAGGAACTAACCTGATAGCAATAAACTCAAAAGTTGTCCGTGTGAAACTAAACATGCTTTTGAACACATTGGTATTCAACACATGTAGAATTATTTCAATAAGCAGTTATTAGTTTTATGTGTATTTTTATGTGTGTGAAGTGTGTAGCGCTATTGATGACTTCAGCTTTAAACTGCTTTATGTGTTAATTACATCTGGACTTACTGAGCCTTACTGCAGTTCCTCACAGCTGGAATCAGTTTCCTTCGTCCCTGCAATGATGTGTTGTACTTCTTCAGGTCCAACTCATCCAGAACCTCCTCTGACATCTGCAGCATGTAGGCCAGAGCTGAGCAGTGGATCTCAGAGAGTTTCTTCTCTGATCTGTTCTCTGACTTCAGGAACTCTTGGATCTCCTGATGGACTGAGTGGTCGTTCATCTCCATCAGACAGTGGAAGATGTTAATGCTTCTGTCAGGAGAGGAATTATACATGTTCATCTTCTTCAGGTTGTTGATTGCTCTCTGGATGATTTCTGGACTGTTGT